CCTAAGCAAATCCGCGAGACTCTCTCTCTAAATAAAATATAAAAAAGGGTTGGGGATTTGGCTCAGTTGTTAAGTGCCCCATCCCCCCAAAAAAGATTATTTGAGAAGTAGATATCCGGGAAAAAAAAAAACCCTGTTCTTGTTTGTTTTTGCTTGAATTGACTCTGCCTTCCTCAGGGTCAACCCACAAGGTACTGAAGGGTGCAGCCTGCACCACACTGCTGGTGAGTGGCGGCCATTTTGGAGTGGAGCTGGAGTCTCTTGAAGGAGGCTTAGTTTCTGCTGAGAGCAGGCTGACAATCATGCAGCCTTCCTGGTGGCCCTGTTTCCTCCTTTCCTCCTACCCTGCAGTAGCTGCAGACCAGCTTCATCAGAGCCTCACCTGAAGGGCATGGTGGAAACTCCAAAGATGCCTGTTGTGCCCACTGAGCCAGAACCTTACTGGCCGGGGCCCACATCTGCACCACTGTTATCAGGGCAGGGAACTGTGGGAAACTCTGAAGTTCTGGCACTTCTGACATAAAGCCCAAGCTTTGCTGTATTTTCTACCATCCCACACATGTGACAAACATACGAGAGTGACACCAACTTCAAGAACTTGAGTATTTCTTATTTATGTCCACAGGAGAAAGGAGGCTTCCCCTGTTGGTCATAACGATGCTGAGATCTTCGGCTGACTTGGCATCTCTGGCTGCCCCTATGGGTCAGCCGCTGGGCTGGTCACTCCCCACAAGTCCTGAATGAGCCCTAACTTGGTGCCCAGCACTGCTGCAGGCCTGGGATCTAGTCATGGGTCCTAAAAAACAGGAAAGCAAAAAATATATGTAAACAATGAAAAAACGGATGGCGTGAATGAAGCACAGGAATTAAAATAGAGGGATGTGACGGTGACAGGTGACCCGTGGGGAGAGATAGGTTTAGGACTGAGTGGCAGGGAGGAACCTGCCAGTGGAGCTCTGGGGCTGCACGGCTGGAGTGCAGGGCTGTCAGGGAGAGGCATGAGAAGTCGGGGAGGGTGAATTTTAGTCCAAAGTAGAGTGGAAACCCTTCAGAGCAGCATGTGTGGGTCACACTTAGGCTTCTTTGGGACAAAGAATCTAGGAGAATCTGGGATGTGGTCTCAGCACAGGTGGAAGGAAGGGAGTTCTTGGCAGGTGGAAAGGGCCAGACCCAATAGTAGACCCCAAATCAGGGAGAGGCAGCAGACCTTGAGGGAGTTTGAGGTTCTGGGGCTCTGAGAAGCCGAAGCCAGATGGAGGATGGGGGCATGGTCGGGTGGGGAGGGAGATAAGAGCACTAGTGCCTTTGTTTGCCAGAAAGTCTGCCATGGTACTTTGGCCAAGTGTTGAAATGAAGCAGCCCCTGCAGAGGGACGGCAGGCATGACTCCCTCAGCACCTGCTGCCGTCCTCTGCCCCTCTGCTCCTTGTGTCCCAAGAGCCACAGCTTCCTTTCTCCACCTCAGCTGCACATTACAATCATCTTGAGCTTTCTGAAGTTCCATGCCTGGGCCACACTGCAGACCAGTTAAGTCAGCCTTGTCACCAGGCCCGTACCCTGAGGCTGCAAGAACTCAGGGGAGCCAGTGCTGCCAGTGAGCTCACCCGAGCACCCCTTCCTGTGTCAGCTGCTGAGGCAGGATGGGTGGGGCCCACAGCCTGGCTCCATCCTGGCCACTATGTTCTGCACTGAGAGGGTATGGGAGCCTGGGGGGCCACCAGGGTATGGGAACCCAGGAACCAATGTTTTCCCATCCTTCAGCCAAGGTTGCTCAGATCACTCTTCGGTGATTGGGGGGGGGTGCAGGGGTGGTGGAGTAGTTGCTAATAGGCTTCTGGTTGGGCAATAGGTGTAATCAGTTTGGTCGTGATTTCCTGAATGCTAAGAATAGAAGAATCCTAAAGTTCATTGTGGGTGTGGCCAAGGAGAGTCTCAGCTACAAGTTTGAGAAGCCAAAGGGACCAACTGAGGTCTGTGGGGTCCAGACTCAGAAAATCTTGTTGTGTTCCCCAGAGGGGAAAGGGGGTTTGATTACACATCCTTCCCCAGGTTAAGCTGTGCCTTTGGTGGACCCATTTAATGATTAGGTGCTTATTATAATCATTACTAATAATGATGCAAAAAATCAGCCTGTGCTCTATAAAGAATAATTTTGATGCATGAATGTTTTAATGAGTCACGAGTTGCAGAAAAATTCCATTCTCGCTCTTCATTCTGTTACTCTTTTGTAGGGAAAAGGTCAGCTCCATTATCTTCCCTGTGTTTTTATGAAAGTTTTAATTTGAGTGTCCCTAAAGAAGCCAGGTATTTTTTAAAGGGCATGATGTTGCTCTCTCCCTCCCTGTCAGTCCCACTCTGCGGCCAGAGTTGCTGAAGAGAAGAAGCCAAAGACCTGAGTGAGCCCCAGGCGGGGTGGAGCACTCCTGGGAGGAAGTGCCTAGCCGGTCACTGCACTGCAGTGGCCCAGGGAGCACAGCCTTCTGGTCCCCACCCGCTTCCTCTGGCCAAGCTGACCTTGAGATGTCCTTGGCTCCAGCCCAACTTGGGAGTCCCAAAGCTCCACTGAGGCAGATCAAACCCTGAGGGACCAGCCACACAGGAAAACTAGGGTTTAGTCCAACTGACTAGGCCATTAGGCTCGGTCACTCGTGACCTTACTCTAGGACATGTGAAGAGAAGGCAGAAGTGTCACCTGAGCCACCTGGTCAGCATCAGGAGAGGTCTGTAGGGTCCTTGGCCACCCTTCCTATCTTTGCAGTGTACGTGACCCTGTGACCTCATGGACATCTTAGAAATGCCCTGAGCAGGGCAGGCACTGCAGGGGGAGCAGGTTCTGGGCATGTTCCTGAGGCCTGGAGGAAGCCCTGAAGTTGGATCGGAAAGAAGGGCTATTCTGGGAGACACCCCCATGGGCATTTTAATTTTAAGGACAAATGGAGACACAGATGGGGAGCTCCCAAAACGAGACAAAGGTCAGTTAGGGCTTGTCTTTCAGGGAAGAAGGCCCATCTGCCTGACTTCTGTGAGACCTTGCTCCTTCCAAAGGTCCCCTCCCAGGATAGCCACCAGATACTACTGTTCTGTCACCTAATGGCTCAGGCCTCCCACATAAGTAAGGGAGCAGTTTGCACCTGGAGAGGAGTCTCAGATGCACCCATTTTGATTTTCTTCTCCATGTCAAATGCCATGGAAATGTGGCTTCAAGATTCTGTGACAAGCTGAGGTGTATGTGATCCTCATTATTGTTCTGCTTTTTATCTATTTGGCCTTTAATTTCTTATGGTTACATGACAATCAGGAAACAGAGTCTCATTCATTCTGTCTTCTTTGTCTCTATCATAAAGATATTTTAAAAGTTTTATAGGTATTAAATGATACCAGCTTGAATAGTCTGCAGTGAACCTTGACTGACACATTACAGTTTCCTTCGTGGGGACATTTTATCTCTGCAGCTGACAGGCACAGCATGCTTGTGTGACGCCCTGCAGTGTCCGTGGTGGCCAGGGACAGATGCAGGAAATCACCTCTGGAGAGACACACTAGGTATAGCAGTAACTCAATCAAACTGTGTCCATCACCCCGTTGGGCCAGAAGTTACAGAAACATCGCAACTGTGTGCCACTGGGGAAGACCTGTCCCCAACCAGTGTTTACTCCTGTGTCTACCCCTGCTCCAGGGCACTGATGAGTAAAAATGTCCCCCACTGGTCACCTAGTCACTCACCATGCTCTGCCTGGCTCTACCCCCCATCAAAAGCCACCCTAGTCTGCTTAGATGTGGATGAAAAGGGCCAGGAGTGTCCCAGCCCAAGGAGGAGTCAGCTCTGGAGCCCATTTCCGAGCTGCCCTTGGAGGACAGACCAGGCACAGAAAGGATGGGAACTGTCGGGAGCAAGTGGGCTCTGTCCCTCCTGAGAGGGACAGACCTGAAGGATCCTTCCAGGGGAAATCAGCCTGACGCAGAAGACAGGCTTTTCTTTATGGTCTGTCAAAGAGGCTCCTCTCCCTGAAAGGGAGCATGGCGTTGTCCCAGTGTTGCCTATGAGACTCCCAGCAGGTTTTGTGCTCAGATTTTTTCCGTTATCAGAAATCTGAGTGTGGGGGCTGGGGCTGGGGCTCAGCGGTAGAGCGCTCACCTAGCATGTGGGAGGTGCTGGGTTCGATCCTCAGTACCACATAAAAAGAAATAAAATAAAGGTATTGTGTCTAGTTAAAACTAAAAAAAAATGTTTTTTAAAAATCTGAGTGTATTTTAAGTATATTTTAAGCCAAATTCCAAAATACTTGCACATTTATGCAAGAAGTGGGGCAGAGCTGTGGCCCTGTTTTCTAGCACCTGCAGGACAGAGGTGGCTTGGACCTGCATGGGAGGAGGTGGGGTGTGGGGAGCCACATGACCCTCCATGGCTCCTTCCTCTGACTCCTCCCTGCCAGGCTCCCATCTTGCTGGCCAGGAGAGCACCTTCTTCCTGGCCTCGCCCTCGGGGAGACATCTCAAGGTGTTCCCAGTGAGGATGTAGCCAGGCGGGGGTGCAAGGTGGTTCCGTGGTGGGAGGGACAAAGGACTGGTAGAGTGTCTGATGCCTTGGAGCCACTGCCCTGGACCAGGGCTTTCGTGTGCACTGCGTTGCTGTCACTGCGGAAACAGACTCAGCAAGGTCCAGCTGCCGAGGTCACTCAGCTTGTGGGGAAGGGAGAGGACTTGGCCCCATGTCAGTGCCTGTCCTCTCCTGGGCCTGTCCCTCCACGTCATGCAGGGAAGAGAACATGACCTGAAAGTCCCTGCTGCCCCGTAGCTTGTGCAACACAGCCTTTGTCCCCTTTCTCTTCAGAGCCAGACCCAGGGACTTGCAGGAGGCCATGGGCAGCGTCAGGGTCATCTCTTCCCCAGAGTTTGAAGTCACTGCCTGGGCCTCCACGGAGAGCGGGGGCATCTGCCACCACATAGGGACCTCCACTTAGGCTTGTGTGGCTCATCCCGTGTCCTGTGTTCTCTCAACAGCAAATGAAGCTCGTGGCTGAGAACCTGAAGGAGGAACCGAGGGAAGATATAAAAGAGAAGGCAGCCTGAGCGCCCAGCACGCCCGGCTGCCCCGTCCACTGAGGCCTGCGTTGGGAGACAACTGCCGGAGGGTACCCAAGCAGCACCGTGCACCTGAACCCAGACCCACTGCTTGGCCACGTGGAGTGGCTCCCACGTGGCAGGCCCTCACGTTGCAGTGCCCTAGCTCAGGGGTAGAAAAGGGCAGCCAGGACCCTTGGCCCTGCCCGCCCTGCCCCTTTCTTGGCCCCACATGCCCGTCCAGCTGCCTCACTCTGCTGCAGAGCCACTGTTGCCCTTGAGCCTCGCCACACCCTCACAGTGAGTGCCAGTCACTCATGACCCCACCAGGACCTGTGGCAGGGCACTGGGTTGAGGCATGTGCCTACCCAGCTGATCCTAGCCGTGCTGTCTGGTCCTGCCGAGCATCAGTTGAGAGAGGGGCGTGTTTCCTACTCCCAGGCCTCCTTCCTGATTCTGTTTTGCAATATGTTAACAGACCTTTTGTCAAAAAAACCATAGAACTGAGCTATTAAAGGCAGCCTGCCCTCTGACTCCTACTTCCCTTCCCAGACAGGGACAGAAATGGCCTGACCTGCTCTATCCTGAAACTAGACCTGGGTCAGGTCCTTAAAGGTAGAGTGGTAAGAGGTGGGCAAGGTGGAGGCCGGGCCTGAGCTTGCAGCCAGGGCCAGGCCTGGGGAGCTGGTGCTGGCCCCGAGGGAGCCCACCAAGGTCCAGGGGCTGTTTTTGTGTGTACAGTATGCATACAGTGCCAGGCCAGGGGCCAGCTGCCACTTCTGGCACCCTGGCATGGGCCTTGAACCTGCAGCGGAGGAGACGTCCTTGCCCGGTGGTGCTGTCCTCCTCCCTGGCTGTGTGCACAGGGCTGCCCGTTATTCACAGGCACAAGAGTCCCACCTGGAATCCCACAGGAGTGTGGCCCTCCAGACCCATAAGCCATGCCTCCTGTGGCTGAGGACCACCCTGTGAGGGCAGGGCCTGGCTTCCGCCATCCTGCCTCATGAAGCAGGCGGCTCAGGCAACCCCTCCCCTCCACACCCGCTGCCTCAGAGCCCAAACTGCAGACCCTCGGTGCTTGGAGTCAGGAAGCCACAGATCCCCAACCCACCTGGAGAAGAGGGGAGAACAGGGAGGGGATGACGTGCTTCCTGGGTGGTGGGGTCCGGCTCCCTCGATTCCCTCCTCCCTTCAAGCTGATTCCAGCATCACTTGTTCTGGAAGCCCCAGCGCTATCCCTGCCTGCTGCCCTGCTGGCTTGGCTGGGTCCACCCAGACTGATATTTTCCAGCAGGGACACTTTAAGTGATCTTGCCCCTTCTCTTGCTGGGATGAGGCTCTTCAGAGCCTAATTTTTCAGTGCTAGTTTAGTGTTTGACAGAACTTTCTGGATCAGGCTCATGTTTTAAGAAGCCAGTGAATAGTTGTCATCAATATATGTCTGAACCCTGTGACCCCAAGATCCTCCTGTCCCAGCCTGGGCACCTGTAACCACTGGGAAAGGAGAGGGTTCAAGTGGGTCCTTGACCCCAGCCCCTGGTCTGCGCCAGGGCCCAGCTTTGGGTACCAGTCGCGTGGGTGCAGCTGGTTGTAAAGCAGTGGGTCCCGAGTGCCCAGATGTGAACCCGAAGGCTCAGCTGGCAGCTGCCGTCACAGCTGCAGCCTCCCCCCAGGCCGGGCCTCTGGTGTCCTGTACTCAGGGCTGTTGTTCCCAGGAACCTCCCTCCTCCCCTCGGCACCACCTACCTAAGCCTAAGCATGAACCAGGACCCTGCACTGGGCCAGCCCCGGGCACAAGGCCACCGGAGATGGTGGATGTGGGAACAAGGCAGGCTGTGGAGAGGGAGGCTGGTGGGAAGGAGAGGCTGCATTGGTCTCCTAGGCTTCCAGAGAGCTGGAGTAGTGGCCAGTACTCTCTGTGTCACCCACACTAGAAACAGGTGGCATCTAGCCCATGGCAGGTGCTCAGGAGTTCTGTGGCACAGTGGAAGAGTCGGGATGGGGCAACGTCACTGCTCCATGTGTGCAGTCCTCAGCTGAATTGAGGACGATGTGCAGGTTGGTGCTGGGCCACCTCCTGTTCCCTTTGCTCAGCTTCTCCACCCGGAATCCCTCGCCTCACCTGCCTCCTGGCCTCACTTCATCCTGCCTCATCACAAACCTCAAATCTCAGCCGCACCGCTGCCCTGCAAGCCATGGCGGATGCCCCCAGACCACCCCAGCTGTGCCATCTTAATCCCCTGGCACAGTGAGCCACACCCTCTGCTCCTCCTGACCCCTGAGGATGTCACCACAGATTGTTCATGGTCTACCTCCCTCCACAGAGTAGCCAAGAACTGAGACACCTGCTCCCCAAGTACAGATGACAACCCAGAACCCGAGACACCCCCCCGACCCTGGTTAGGAAAAGGCACAGGATGACGGCGGCAGCCCTGGATAGATCAGGGGGGCACAGGGCTGGAAGAGGCTTCGGAACCCAAGTCCAAACCCCGCACTGAGGGTGCCTGAGGCCCAGAGTGGGGAGGATCTGCCCACACCGTGGGACATGAGAGGGACCCCAGCCCAGGGCCTTCCCCGCAGGTTTTGCAGAGGGCAGTGGGAGGGACGCTGTGGTGCAGGTCATGGGAAAAGAGCCACCCAGGGAGAGCCCAGGCCCAAGGGAGGCACATGGGCTTGATTCTCGTGCACAAGCCCGTCCTGCTGTCCCTGCTTCCCACCGCTGTGACACGGCCCCCGTTAGGTGGAAACGCCTCTGGGACCCGCTGCTTCCCCAGCCACCCCGCTTTGCACACCCAGGGCTCCTGAGGGCCGGATGCTCCAGGGCCCCGCTCTGCCCAGACACCACCCCACCTCACAGGGGCCATGCCTGGAGCTCCGCTCTCTGCGCAGCAGGGAGAGCAGCCAAGGTTCCTCCCTGTCACCCTCACCCTGCACTCACCTCCCACGGGCCCTGAGATGCGGACTTGCCAAGTCTCACAGGTTGTTGGTGAAACTTGACTCAAGTCAGTCCCCAGCTCAGTCTTCTCACTCAGACGTTCATCTGTGCCACCCACACGCTGAGCACCTCCTGGGGGGAGCACTCACACCACGAAGGAGGCCTGTCCTCCTCTCCAGGCCACTGAAGAACCATGCCAGAGGTCAACGGGTGCCCCCAGGTCAGGCTGGGCCTCTGCCAACAGTCTCTGGGTTTGTTGGGGGTCTCTGCCAGTGGGCCTCTCTCCCCCTCCCCGTGGCCACACAGTCACACACCCCACCCCCCATTGGCAGCTCAGAAGCTCAGACAGAACAGAGCTTTCTGGTAATAGCTTCTAGGAGGAAACAAGGGGCAAGTGTCCAGGGATCCACGACCCTGTGGCCAGGGGCTCATGGCACTCATGCTCCCTCACCCTGTCCTTGTCTTAGGAAATGGAGGCACATAGGCTCGAGTGACCCTCAGTCCTCATGACAGCGTGGCACACTCTCCACAACTCTAGTCCACCCACCTGTCCTTCGCCACCTGCCAAGAGGATGCTTGCCACCCTCAATGGCCCCTCTGCCTGCAGCCTCCCTTCCCCAGCCCCTGAGCCCTCAGTCCCCAGCCTCTGCCTTCCCCCAGCAGGAAGCTGATAGCCAGGAGAAAGGTCAGAGGCCACAGGTCAAGGGTCATGGTGTCCCAGCTGGTCCCTACTTTTTCAGAACCCCTGGGTTCTACAAGAACAGTGCCTGATGCAGTGCCTCAGCCAACACCAGATGATGTGGCCCTGCCCTCCCTTCAGGTGTCCATGCCCTGCCCTCCCCCCAAGCCTCCATGCCCTGCCCAAAAGGGACTTGAGGAGAAGGGTACCTATCAACCTCCAGGGACCTGCAGGACCTGGAAGAAGGCTTCTGCCTCCAGCTTGGGAGCACCCATCCTTCCCAATGAGAGGCTCATTCTGGTGACCAGGGACAGGTGTGGAGAGCTGATTATCCCAGCTCTCCACGAGTCAAAGGTGAGGTGCTTGCAAGCTACCCCAGGGGCCCAGCCAAGCCTGCATCAGGATGGGCCTGTTTAAGGACTGACAGAGGTCACCACAGCCAGAGCAGGGAAGTGACCTATGATTTAGACTTGTGTTTCTGGCCATGATGGAATCAGAGGAACCTAACTGGCCCTCTGACCCTTAATAGAAAACCAAATAATATATTTTGAAGCCATAGTTTTCAGACACTGGGTGACAGATCACATAGGACTGTCGCCCTGAGCCCAGGGAAACAAACGTGCACTCTGGGGCCCCAAGCTCCTGCCTGGAGGCAGCCGCCAGAAGACAGGGGGCGGGCAGCCCCCATAAAGCCAGGTGGATTTGCTGAGTGGAACAGACCAAGTTTGCTTCAGGAAAACTGATGTAGATAAAACCTGCAGGACACAGTAGCCATAGAGGAGGGTGCTGCAGAGTGAGTCAGCTCCAAAAATCTCCTCTCTGGTTTCCTATTGGTCAGCACTCTACGTAAGAAAACTAGCTGAGGCTGAAGAAAGTACTACAGGAAAGCAGTTGGCTGAACCATACTCAGCACTTAGGTAAGGCTGGGCACAGTTTGTGTTCCAGCCATAGTGAGAGGATCTTAGACCGTAGGAGAATCTTTAGAGGTTTAAAAAAAAAAAAAAATCTTTAGAGAGGTATTGCCTCAGTAGTGGGCCAAATTAGTCCTAAAGGCTACTCTGAACTGCTCCAGCAATTTAAAGACAAGACCCAAAAGGATCCAACTTATTTCAAGTAACTATACGAAACCTGAAACTCTTCCTGAATACAACAAAATGCAACTTTCAACAACAATATAAAATTCACCATGTCCAGCACTAGAATAAAAAAAGGTCAACCTAGAATTTTATACCCAATAAAAATATCCTTCACAAATGAAGTGAACGTATGTTTTTTTTTTCATCTGAGCAAAAGCTGGCAGAAGAAAATTCCAAGATGTGGACCTACACAAAGAAATGAAGCACGCTAGAAATGATAATAAGTAAAATGCTTCCCGCATGTTGAAGCTCTTGAAAATTATTAAAATGAAAATATGTATACATATGTAAAGATAAAATGATAGTATAAGGAACAGCAGAAGGAAATGGAAGCATCTACAGTTGTAGGGTTTTTACGTTCTACACAAAGATTATTTTAAGACATACTGTGATACATTAAGATAGATATTGTCTCCAGGCATGGTGGAGCACGTCTGTAATCCCAGTGGCTTGGGAGGCTGAGGCAGGAGGATCGTGAATTCAAAGCCAGCATTGGCAAAAAGCGAGGCACTAAACAACTCAGTGAGACCCTGTTTCTAAATAAAATACAAAATAGGGCTGGGGAATGTGGCTCAGTGGTTGAGTGTCCCTCAGATCAATCTTTGGTACCTGCCCCAAATATATATTCAATCCTACTACAGCAATTTCTTTTAAAAAAAAGAAAAGAAAAATGGTACAGCCAATAGTGGAGATTAAATGGGTGGGTGGGGAGAGTACTCAGTTAAGGAAAAGAAAGAGCAGATAAAATAAATAGAAAACAACTAAAGAGATGCATAGGTTTAAATTCAA